CAAAAAGTCATTTATTAGTTTTTCTTTTACTTAATTATTTGAAATAATCGATATTCTTGGATGTATTTAAATTGAATATAAATTATTAATCAATAAGATGACGCAATAGGACAACTTAGAAAAATCAATTAAAGTTATTGATATATTTTCTACTTATTATTTGATATAATAGTTAAGAAAATATAATATTTATGTATTATTTATGGACGATAAAAAATGTTTTTTTGTCTAGTAATGTTGAGAATTTGTTAAGTAATTTGATGAATAACTGAAATGTCTATTTTACATGTAATTTATATTAATGACAATACAATTTAATAATTAATAATTATTACTTTTGTATTTGAGAGTTGATTTTGAATATAAAAAAAAGATATGTCCAAAATATCTTGCAAATATACTACTTACATTTAAACTCTGAACCACAACTGACTTACACATGGAATGATGCGAATATCAAGTAAAGTCATGAGAAAATCGATGAACGACCTAACGGAGAGACCATTCACCCAACCATCTAGTTCAGTTGCGATCGGAACCAAAGAGAAACAATTACTTTGATCTCGATGGGTAGCTGCCCATTGTCAAGAATGCGGTGAAAAAATTTCGTCTCGTTTTAATGCTCCTCTTTTTTTGTTCTTTTCTCCGCGTTCCCCATTTCACGCTTACGACTTCCTCCTCGAAACCCGAAACAAAAAATCGTTCATTCTGAGAACCATTCGGACTGACCAAATAATAAACGAAAAGTAAAATTTGATACAGTAGTTTTCACTTCGCCGTCGGCGCGGTTATTTCAGTTATTGTTTTTGTTTTTCTCTCTTTCTCGATATATATTGTTTTTGTATTTTTTTTGTCTTCTCCTCTCATTGCTTTCTTGGGTTTGCGTTCGAACATTTTTCTGTGCAACCCCACTTCGGAAAAGGACGACAAATTTTTATATAAATACTGGATTTGTTCAACGGTAGAGTATAAACGTTCCAGCAAAACCACAGCTACCACAATGTACAAAAGCGCCGTTGTTCTATTGTTGTTCGGTGAGTATAACTATATAAAATTATTTTCCGGTTGATGCTGTAATCTCTTTGCTTGAAGTTTCGTTGGTGGCTGCTAAGAGGACCAGGGAATACGATAACGACTATTATGGTTCCGAATCGAACAACTACGAGCAAACCCAGGCCGCAGCTCAACCCCAAGGGAAACCTAAGCAGGGTTTCAGCGCCGGCAGTGGATTAAGAAGCATCGCTCAAGGTTCAGCTGAGCAAGCCAAGAACGCAGTTCAGAACCAGAATGCTGCAGCGAGTCAGGCTGCCTATGTCGCCAAGAATACGTTAGCTCAAGCGGCAGCAGCGGTAGGTTTATTAGGTAGTTGTTTTCTGGTTCCTAGTAACTTAGATGTTTGTAGGCATCCGCTACTGCTCAAGCGGCTCTGGCTGGAAAACAAGTGATCTTGCAAGGTATAGAACAGCAAGTTCAGGACTCTAAAACTGCCCTGGATGGTGAAAACATGCAACTGCAGCAGGCTCAGAGGAGTGCTACAGCTGCGCAACAAGCTGCTCAGCAAGCTCAGCAGCAAGTCAACATTTTGACCGCAGCATTGAACGCAGCCCAGGCTACTGCAGAACACGCCCAACAATCCTCCTCGGAAGCTGCCGGAGAATTAGCCGCCCAGGTAAGGATATCCTTATTGGTAATCTCAAGGTGAGTTTAATATTTTATTTTTGTAGGTGTCTATGGTTGGCTCAGCTAAACAGAGGTTGCAAACGCTCATTGAACAATTACAAGGAATTAGAATTGATTTCGAAGCCACTCAGGATGCTGCAATGAAGGCCCAAGCCGCTGCTCAAGCAGCTCAGGCTAATGCGGCTGCAGCAGCGGCCGAAGCAGCAGTTGGCCTTGAACAGCATCCGGGACATCCAGGAATCGGAAACGAGAAGATCGCCGCCCTCGTCGCGGAACCATTCGAGGCATATGGCCTCTACCATTATTAGCCTAATTTTCAATATCTCATTACTACTCGCTTACTTCATTTTTTATACACATACCAATATTTTTCTACAGAAATAAAAAAGCGTAAACGAATTGATACTTTCAGTGACCTAAGAACTTAACCCGCCGAAGGCCGCGTCGCTCTTGGTCAAACTATTCCAGTTCTCTTTTTCTTCTCCCATTCCACAATTTATAATAACCAGCAATTTTTCCTCTCCAACGTTATCCGCATGAAGTGTTATATAACCACGTGTACCTTTCATAGCATGCGCGCGCGCCCACGAACCCATTTCGCTCTATGGAAATGCATTCGACCACATGGAAACCTCTCTCTATCCATATCCTCCTCTCTGCCTCTTTCCTGCATACACAAACACACTGTTCACATTTCATTATCATTAATTTTCCATGTAATGCGCCCAGGAGAAAACTGAGAAAACGTGCAATTTCGCTCAGGGAAACGCTACAATTATGCGTGGAAATCGAAAATCCGAAAAGAAAGAAAAAAAAATCGAATGCGTTCACACGAGACCTTCCTTCCCATATTTAGAAATCCCTCTAAAACGTAGATCAAACAATCAAAAGACGTGAAAGCTGATATCGATATTTAAAGTTTGTGTTTACGACGATTTCGAAAAGTACAGTTATTGAAATCAGTATTGATCCACGGCTGAGCTGACCCGAAAACCTGCATTGACCCGTGCTGACCGGAATAATCCGCATTGACCCAAGTCTCCGTCGGAATCCTGCCAGGACCCGCGACCCGGGTATTTCTCTGCGTCTATTGATCCTCTTTCACCAGTTGCGTACACTCCAACCGGATTCTTCGCTATATCCTTTGGGTGCAGAATTTGTGCAGAGTCTGTTAAATTCTTTCGCCTCTCTGTGTTCCTTCCACTTTTTTTTTTCTTATTCATCAGACACTTGACATCCTTTTACAGCCACGTAATTGATAGCACCTCGTTTCGGAACAGTATATATCGATGATACGCAGATGACCTTGATCTTTGCGTCTAGAATTTCAGCGGTTTGGATCGCATGATATATTTAGAAAACAGAGGAAAAATTGCATATTAATAGACATAAATGTAGAAAGTTTGTGAAATGACTAAATTTTTTTTTAATCTTAAAATGTTACTAATTTGACCCAATTCCAGTATATTCGAAAACAAACAATTGTTTAATAGCTATATTAAAATTATTATTTACAATAAATAACGTTTGTAATACCTTTGCCTCATTAAACAAACTAAATTTATTACTGTGATAAAATCAGAATTTTGTAAAATTTTACGATATTACAAAACAAAATATTTATTATAAATTAGAAATCTATGATATATAATTTATAAAGCAAAAATATTTTTTACGAAACAATATACAGTCGATTTCGCTTAATCCGGACACATCTGGACTAGTATATTTGTCCCGATTAAGCTGACCTAATTATCAGAACAAGCGGCTGTCCCGATTAACCGGAATCGACTGTATATATAAATTAGAAAACAACGTTAATGAACAAACTATAAGTTAAAACTTGCAAAGCATTTTTTGCAAAATAAACACTTTTTACCAAATATTCGTATATACGATAAGTCAATAAGTTGCTTCACAAATTTCGACATTTATATTTTTTTCTTGTAAACTGACCATGAGAATTGGAATATAACCTATTGCAATTTGTTGAATTGACACATTTAGACAATAATGATTGTCCAGTATAAGAAATAAGAATAAACATTTTACTGAATAAAATTGAAACGTTTGTAAGGAAACAAAATCCGGTCATCTACCTTATGAAGTAGGCTATAATTTCGCGAAATAAAATAATTTATTACTTAAAAAAAAACGAAATACCGCTGCAAAATTATACAAAATTTCCAGCAGTAAATTCATTCGAACTCGATAACTAATTACACTTGATACATTATTAACAGTTAATTACATCATGAAAAGTTATCGAGCAGACTTAGTCTAACGGCGCAATCTCATCTAGTGTAGAATGATTACTTTAACCGGATATTCATTTTATTTATTTAGTTAATCTAATAAATTTGTTATAATTTAGAATTAATGTTGAAAATATATTTTTTTAACAAAATTTAATAATTATTTTAAATTATTTCCAATTTTTTTATGTAATTTTTCATAAATTACTTTTTGAAGAAAATTATATCTAAAATTGCCGTTATAACAATATATTTTGTTACAAAAATTAAATAATTATAAGCAAAAAAAAATATTATTTTATAATTTGATCTAAGGGAAAGAGTTTATGTAAATGTGAAATAACGAAAAAGGCTATTTGCAACAAGGTTACAATTAGATTGTAATTAAATTATGCATGTAAAAAGTGCACACTATAACAATATTAATTGCATAAAAAATATATATGGTAACGCAACAATCAATGTTATTTTTTGTTTGTTAATTAAAAACCTTTGATGTAATTGCAAAATGAGCGAAGTAAAATAAAATGTAAATATCTTAATGGGTATATAATTTAAGATTAAGATGGTGTGTGATGAAACGGTCACCCTGTCTGTATGCACGCAAGAAGGACTCTGATTGATACGCACTTGATACCGTTAGTATATGATTGGTTGTCAAGACTGGGTCAGGCTGGTTCTTCGGGGGCAACAAGTTGTTACCCATGTGTTGGGTACCACTTACCAGTAACCAGTACCACGGTACCACAGCACCACACCGCACGGAGTACCTGTCATGCATTTCTAAACCGAACGCGCGCCCAACGAAACGCAAATTCCAACAGAAAAACCACACACAAATAACCAAGTAAATAACGAGAAATATCATAACAAAAAAGTGAACTAAAAATGAAATGTGTCAGTGCCTTATTCTTCCTGCTCGTGATATGTAAGTAAAACCTTTGTACACAACACAAATCCAATCCCTACTTCATCCAAGTCGATCTACTAATAAAACAAGTTTCTGTAAATAAATATTGATTAACAGTTAATAAATAATACGAAACGGAAAACCCTCAATATCCAAAAATTCACAAAGAAAAAAACAAAATTTTTGATTTTCTTAAAAAATAATTTTTTTTTTTTAATCCTTTTACTGTTTTTAATTATTTATACTCCGCAATGTAAATTCTCTTTATTAAGAAACAGAAATTAATGTTTAGCAATATTATATATATATATATTTCTTTTTATTGCGCGAAGGTCATACAAAAAAATATTTACTCTTGTACAGTTCGTATCGTACAGATCTCTATTCGCGTAATCGTGCCGCAATTGGGTCCCATTAAAGGCTAATTTGATGAAAAAGTGAATGATGGAAGTTCAACCTAGGGATGATTAAGGGGAAAGTGGACTTGCAACACTCGGCCCCAGATTCTGATCATTACTCTGACCAAAATCGGAATTGTTTTCTAATTTAATTCTATTTATTTCTCTATTTTTTTTATTTATAT